CTTTTAATTTCCTGGCAACTGGTGCCAAGCATGTTGACTGTGGATTAGGAAAATATATGAATGAGCTCCATAGTGTGGTTAGAGGTAGTTGAGCATTTCATGGCCATCTGATAGAGATTAAAGTAGCATTGAAACCAATGGCTTATTGCACACAATTGTACTTCTAAGGCCAGTTGCTGTTTACTGTTTAAATACTTGGAGTATTTTAATTTCAAGCTCTCTTTGTGTCCTGTAATAGTACATTAAGTGAAAATATGTACATATATCTAGAATTCTTTTTCTGAATGTACATCGCAGAGCTTCTAGAGACTTTAGTTTGAATGTTGGCCTGGCAGTTGCTCTAATACACCACCCTCCCGAGGGAAATTCTGTCACATGAAAGACATCGAGAGCAAATGCAATATGAAATGCAGTCCCCGCTATTCTCGTTAACTATAATTTAGTCTGAAATAACTTTCACATTTGTGGACGGAGCTGAAAAATTGCTTATTTCTGAGGAAATTAGCTGCAGTCCCTCTCAGTGTAGCTGCAGCCTGTTTCCCAGATAGCACTGTCAATGAGCATCAGAAGTTGAAGATCTGGTAGCTACAGTTATATTTAAAAATAGAAAACATCATTAGTATTTAAGGAAAGCTGCCATATGTGGAGATTCAGATCAAGATTAAGTGTCCTTCTACTGATAAGACAACATTGCTTATCCATGAATAATTCAGTATCTAGTGCCTGAAATCTAGGACAAATGCCCAATCTCTTGTGGGAAGACTGGCCATCCTTAATAAAACCCATAAACCGATTTTTTAAAAAAAATAACAGTTTTTTTGGTATGTGGCGGGGTGAAAGGCAGGGAAATCAAACTGTGACCCTTATGTATGCATCATAGTTATATATACAGTTATTGAGCTTTGTGTTTAACTATGACTATATAAATATGTAGATTGTAGCTCAGGGTCAATGTTGAGGTTTATAAGTGCTTTTAAAAGTGGAGCCTTTTTGTGAAACACATTTATTGTGTCTTTATCATATGAAAGAAATAAATTGAACATATTTTAGAGAGAAAAAGAAGGGTACACATTCATTTTTATTGAAGACACACTGCTCTTTATGTATAGGTATACATATTACACTGAATATTACACATATGATAAGGAGTTCCTTCCTTTACCTCTACCTTGCGTTCGAACTTCTGAGTTGTAAAACAACCCAGTGGTAGATGGAATTTGCTCCAGGACTTAAGAAACGTAAATGACATAGCTGAGCCTCTACATCTTGTGGTTCCTAACCTCTACACTATAATAGACAAAGTGCTAGTCAATAGGCCTTTTATTGTAAGAACCACCTTCCCTCTGTAACTTGATTT